TTAGCTTACTTTTTTTACGATATTGCACCGTTTTTTGAACTCTTCATCTTCCTTCTCCCACCTACCCACCTTCTACCATCAATTTTCTTTCATTATTTTAATTTTCAGGAGTCTTGAGCGATTAGAGTTCTTATTTTCCGATCATGATCTCTTCGTTCACTCAATCTGCAAAACCCATTAATGGGTCTCACGTCGTTCACCGCCGGAGCTCTCCGGCGCCAATCCGGCCGTTTTCTTGCCCACCTCCATTGCCGGCGCTAAAGCCCCAAGGCTTCGTTCTCTGTATGAAAAATGCCCTTCATATCTCTTCGGTTTCTAATTTCGGGCCACTGAGAACCCGGAAGAGTGATTTGGTTACGAGGAAAGCCTACGAGGCTGACCGATCGCACCCGATTGAGTCGAACGTTGAACTGACGGTAGCCGAAGCGCGAACAGAGGCGGCGAAGAAAGTGAAGATCGGACTGTATTTCGCTCTCTGGTGGGGTTTGAATGTCGTGTTCAACATTTACAACAAGAAGGTTTTGAATGCGTTTCCATATCCATGGCTAACCTCCACGCTTTCCCTCGCTGTTGGCTCTCTCATCATGCTTGTCTCTTGGATGACAAGGATCGCCGACGCACCCAACACCGATTTTGAGTTCTGGAAATCTTTGTTCCCTGTAAGTTCTGTTCTTCTGGGTTGTGTTTGGAAGTTTTTGTTGGACTCTGATCATCATGTTGTTCTTGTATTTGATTGTTGTTTTGGAATGTTGTGTGTTCATGTTGATGATTTTGAATAGGTTGCTGTGGCCCATACGATTGGGCATGTAGCGGCCACAGTGAGCATGTCAAAGGTTGCTGTCTCATTCACTCATATCATCAAGAGTGGTGAGCCTGCATTTAGTGTATTGGTTTCAAGGTTCCTGTTGGGTGAGACTTTCCCTGTTCCTGTCTACCTTTCTCTTCTACCGATCATTGGCGGTTGCGCGCTTGCTGCCGTGACCGAGCTTAACTTCAACATGACTGGTAATTCAACTCTTACTTTTGTTCAATCACTATCACTACACTTCCATGTTGTGTCTGTTAGGGATCACGACTCTCCACAATAGTATGATATTATCCACTTTGAACATAAGCTCTCATGGTTTTGATTTGGACTTCCCCAAAGGCCTCGTACCAATGGAGATGTATTTCTTGCTTATAAACCCATGATCATTCCCTATTAGCCAAATGTGGGACTCCCTTCCAACAATCTTCAACCGTGTCCACTATTGAGAATTGTTGGGAGAGGAGTCTCACATCGACTAATCATGGGTTTATAAGTAAGGAATACATTTTCATTGGAACGAGACCTTTTGGGGAAACTAAAAGCAAAGCCATGAGAGCTTATGCTCAAAGTGGACAATATTATATCATTGTGGAGCGTCGTGATTTCTAACATCGGCTAGTATTCTTGCATGACGTTTCGTGAACTTCTGCACTAAATCACATGTATTTAGTTCGATTTGTAAGTGGATACCCGAGATTGTAGTTACTTTTGAGAGAATTGGTTCGTTTATCATGTTCCCAAGATGTTCTTAACATTCTTGTTCCATATGATTGTTGAGAGCTCTGTTGGATGTGTTGACCTCTTCAGGATTCATGGGAGCTATGATATCAAACTTGGCATTTGTGTTCAGAAACATATTTTCCAAGAAAGGCATGAAGGGGAAGGCTGTTAGCGGGATGAACTACTACGCCTGTTTGTCTATTCTGTCCCTTTTGATTCTTACCCCATTTGCTATTGCTGTCGAAGGACCGCAGATGTGGGCTGCAGGATGGAAAACTGCTGTCTCTCAGAATGGACCTAACTTTGTTTGGTAAGCAGATTTTACTCTTAATTTTCTCCTATTTAACAGAGTTATCCTATGAACCTTACGTAAACTCAACGATCTATGGGCATCGACAAACCTTACAAATCACATGGTTGGTTAGAGAGGAGAACAAAGCATTCCTTATAAGGGTGTAGAAAACTCTCCTTAGCAAATGTGTATTTAAAACCGAGAGGCCGACAACAATACGTAACGGGCCAAAGCGGACAATATCTGCTAGCGGTGGGCTTGAGCTGTTACAAATGGTATTAGAGCCAAACACTGGGCGTTATGCCAACGAGGACGCTAGACCCTTAAGGGGGGTGGATTGTGAGATCCCACGTCGGTTGGAGAGGAGAACGAAACATTCCTTACAAGGGTGTGGAAACCTCTCCCTAGCAAATGCGTTTTAAAACCGACGATGATACGTAACAGGCCAAAGTGGACAATATCTGTTAATGGTGGCCTTGAACTATTACAAATGGTATTAGAGCCAGACACTGGGTGGTGTACTAGCTAGGACGTTGGGCCACCAAGGGAGTGGATTGTGAGATCCCACATTGGTTGGAGAGGAGAACGAAACATTCCTTATAAGGGTGTGGAAACCTTTCCCTAACAGACGTGTTTTAAAATCATGAGGCTAACGGCGATACGTTATCGGTCAAAGCAGACAATATACGCTAGTGGTGGGCTTGAACGGTTAGAGTTGGTAACTTGACTTCTGCATTTCATTTTCTGCTAAAAAATGTGTTCAGTGGGATGTCTTAGATTCAGTTAAAACTATGCGCCTGCTATCTCGATAACTTGAATGTTAACTCGAGTCCAACCGTCATCAATCCTGTGTGTAGTTTACTGTTGTGAGCCTTGAAGAGCTCAAATCTTTTATGGTTTCATATGAAGATATCTCATTTTGGTTTTGAAAGGGTACTGTTTTTGTGTTAATGGTAGGTGGGTAGCAGCTCAAAGTGTGTTCTATCATCTCTATAACCAAGTATCCTACATGTCTCTGGACGAAATTTCTCCCTTGACATTCAGCATTGGTAACACCATGAAACGTATATCGGTCATAGTTTCTGCAATCATCATCTTCCGCACACCTGTCCAACCCGTCAATGCTCTCGGAGCTGCAATCGCTGTTCTCGGGACCTTCTTATATTCACAGGTAACAGACCTCGTTCATCATTCAGTTGGTTATCTGCTTGCCTTACGCCTTCAATCTCACTAAATCTTATCAATGCAGGCAAAACAATGAGAAGAAGACTCTTAGAACTTATGCAATTATATCAAAAAGAGATCGGAGCAAAGCATTCAAGAAGTGTCGGGATTTTCGATATGGCAGCGAGGAGATTGATTCGAGTTGATCAGTTTTTGATGTTGTGTTTAATCATTGAGAGATGAACAAGTAGTGATTTTCTGTGCATCTAAATGGTCATACATGAATAAAGTGAGTTGGGAAGGTAAATTGTGTAATTCTTAACTAAAAGTTGCCTTAATATGAAATTAACACAAAATATAAAAATTAAAATTAATAAAGATTAGCAAATAATTCATGAATCATGATTTTTCTTCTACGCAGGAGATGTATAACACTTATCTACATTTATAGTAGCTAAAATAACCTTTGTCGGTTTTAATTTGGTAAAAAAGAACGTTTGAAACGATCCAATGTTGGTTTTAATTAGGTAAAAAAGAACTTTTGAAACGATCCAAACACTCTTTGAACGCCTCGGAATAGATAAGGATGACATCTATGAATATAATAACAAATGTGTTCGGGCGCTCTTTGAAGACCTTGTTCATCAAACTTATAAATATTGGAGATGCATTTGTTTGACCAAAAGACATATCAATGAATTCATAAGGGTCATACCTTGATATGAACGCTCCTTTCTTTTTTATCTGATGGGAGCCCAACTATTAATCAATTTTGGAGAACATTGTTGCCTCCCATAGCTAGTTGAACAAATCTTCTATACAAGAGAGGGGATATTTGTTCTTCGCTATCCTTCTTCTTTACAAGTAAGACTGCATCCCAAGATGAAGTCTTTGTCTAACAGATCCTGTAACTATACTTTCAGTTCCTTCAATTTTTCCCATGCATCCCAAAGTGTCCAAAAATAGATATATTACCTATCACCACTACATTAAGGTTGTGCGTGTCTTTGCTGATAGAGGCATAAGTTTTCTCCTGTTTGTGAGTCGGTATAGGTGATATGAATCAAGAGACATCAATTATACAATATATTTCAATGGATGTAAAGAAAATGCTATTAAAATTATCAAAAAATATTTTAATTCATGCCACATTGAAAAAGAATGAAGTTTTATTGTTATAAATTTTGAGTGAATTACAATGGAGTAACTTAGAGTTATTGTATTTCATTAATATATTATAAGACTTTTTATTTACCTGTAGGCATAATGATTAATTATGTCTATAAAATATGAATGTTACAACTCTTGGAATGTCTTTAATAGTTTTATTTTGAAGCTATATAAAACCATATATGCTGTATTTGTAAGGAGACTTTGAAAATGCTGTAAAAGAAGCGTTTGTGCTTCTCTTTAGTCAATGACCAAGTTTCTTTGCAATTGTATGTAGTTTAGGTTGCATATAGAATCATTCAAGTCGACATGATCAATCTTGTTTGTGGAGTGATTCGAATCTCAAACAAGTGTTATTCTATTGAGACATTTGATCAACAAGAATCATTCAAGCTAGTTTGTGGAATGATTCGAATCTCAAACAAAAGTTCTTGCGATGAGATATTCGATCGAGAAGGTAATCTGAATCTTACTCTCTTAGAGTGATTTTCATGTCAAGAGATTTTTTTATCCTACCAAAGCTCGATGGTTGTATAGTGGCTAGCAAGTAGCAATGTGTCCTTGTTGACCGCACCTAGAACGCACTCCATACCTTGTCAAACAACGTCCTTACCACCATAATCATCACATACCAGCTTGTCACTTTCACTTTTGCTTTGTTGGCTGGTCGAGAACTTATTATTATTTTAAAGTTTTAACATATTTTTTTAAATAAATTATAAACGATTTTTTTTTTTTTTTTTTTTTTTAAGTTTGGGAGCATTTTTTTTAAAAAATTTTAAAATTTTAATATATTTTTATTTTGTATTTATTTTATTTTATCATTTACCGGTAGGAAAAATAATCCCAAAAGTATTAAAGTGGGCTGAGGGCTCAACTCTCCGCCTCCGTCGACCGGTCGCCGCCAGTGAAACTCGTTTTTTCTCAGAGTCGGTCCGTGAAGAAACACCGTCGTTAGGCAACGTTTTATTTCACTGGCGCGCCATACCTAAACCACCTCTTCTCTCCCTCGCGGTCTTGTCTCGTCTTCCTTCTCTCCACCTAGGTTAGTATTTATACTCTGCTTCCTTGTCTTCATCATTGTTCTAATAATTCTTCGGTTTGTATCGATGTTCGATTTCTGGTGAAGCTGTATCGATTGGACTCATGTTTTTAATTCTTAGGTTTTGATTGTAATTTCAAAATTCTAGAGGTTCCATGGCCTCTTCTGAAGCTGAGAACCGTCAGGAGAAGTTGGCATCCATGCTTGACCAGCTCTGTTTAGAAAGTGGCATTCTACATAAAATGATTTATAAGAACAAGAACCAGCATCGCCGTAGTTTCTATTTCCGATATCTTTTACAGGTTTTCATCCCCCTCCCTCTAAGAAAATTGTGGTTGATTGATTCGTTACTGTGAAAAGAAAACTAAACTGCAAGAAAAGAAGTGCATGGAATTTTTCTTGTAGGAGGAGAATATTGCTTTTATACGTATATGTTAGTCTGTGTAAATATATGTTCATACAAGCAATAAGAGGGAAACATTTTAATATTGATGACACCAGTTGAAAGGAAAGGGGACATTATGATACACAAAACCAATAGTCATAGGAAGTATGTAGTTATGGTGAGATCATTCACTCAGTGTTAGATGAAGAATTTGAGATTTTTGGCATGCATTGTAACTTTTCTTGCGTCTATAAAAAATGTTAGGTAAGGAGAGATTTAAGACTTCTACAAGCTGCCAAGTTAAAGGAGTTGATAAGTTCCTGCTTTCAAGTTATTGACGGAAAGAAACCTAAGCAAAAGATTCATTTTTTAGAAAGGTATGTGATTTTGAGTTCCTTCTCCTCATGAATTTTTTTTCTACTTAGCATATAGTAAAGAGATGACTAGATTATAAATGTATGTATTCGTTTTCCTTTGATCTTCTGTTTTGACTTTCTATTTTGTTACAGTTTGAAACGGAGGAAATGTGAAGTTGGGAAATATAATTTCATGGAACAGCTTCTGGGGGCTTCACGCCTACTATCAGAGGTGATTTTTCTATTGAATTTGTCTTCTTTGCAAGACTAATTGGGAGTCTTTATATAGAATGTTCATTTTCTTTCTATATGTTTATGCTTATGATTGAAAAAGATCATGGTGTATTCCTATACCAAAAAAAAAAAGAAAAAAGAGGAGATTATGATATAGTATATTATCTAAATCTATTTTGCTTGATGTAAGCTGTTCCATGTTCACTAAAAAATATTTTCAAGTAGTTGGGCTTTGTTTTGAATGAGAGGTCAATCAAGGGTTATTTTTGCTATTAACCTCAAGGGGCAATATTTCTACTGTTACGGAAATTATAAAATGATGTTCACTTTACATCGTAGATTTCCCCTTTGGACATTGTATTGAAGGGATCTTTTTCCAAACCTTTTGCAGATGGTGGAGCCAATTTTTAAGGCAGCAACGTATCCTTTTTATCTATTGGTCTAATGCATTAGAGATAAGTTGGTGTTGCTTGCTGCTTTCTGTTTGCTCAAATTCATTTTAGTATCCATGAGAATCTTTATAGTGGTGTAAGTTGGATTTCTTCAATGGCTATTCAATTAGTCTTCCTGTATGTCCAACAGTGGAAGTGGAAAACAGCCCTGTAATTGCACAGCGTTTAATATGAAAGCTGGCTGGCTTATTTACTTGGTTAACTTGTTCATTTACTTGACAGGCATATATGATATGTAACTTCATGTTTTCCTTAATATAAAACGTGAAGCTGTTAGATCGTATTACATTACATCAATTATGTACAGCAACTCACCTCAGCATCTCTCAGTGTTAGATATTTGTATGTAAAAAGGTTTTTGACAATATTGACATTTTTTTACCTATTGGATTCTTGCTCCTGCCTTCTTTTATTTTCTATATCTTGGTTGTGTTTTGGGCATTCTTGAGATTCAGCACAGTCATTCTTTTTTGTTTTTGCCCACTCCATAAGTTTGCTAGTTAATGCACCTTCACATAAGTGAGAAGTTCAATAGTGAGAACGTTTCCCACTTAGATGGTAGCTATGTAAAATAAGTGCTTTGTTTTCTATCTCTGCCTCGGAAACATTTACATCATCGCCTTGAATAGATAATTATTTTCTATTAATTTGTTGTTTGTTAGACGATGGAAACTAATTTGAAGAAATTCATTGTGCAAATATCATCCTTGACTATTATCAGTGAGATATCTATCTTGCTTGCTCGAACATTTTTCACAGGGTTTTGCTTTATAATTTTGGCATTACTGGCACGTATTTGGGTGTTGGTTCAACAAGTAAGTCCATTTTTATTAATAAATATTTAAGAAAAGCAGGAATCATTTGACATTTGAAGGTTAGGATTTTCAGAAACTTTCGAAGGATTGCATGACAATTGACAGTACATTGTCATTTTTCTGAGATGGAAATTGTGGCAACATAATTACCATCGCTAACTTTGATTATTTTATGTTTATGATGAATTTGCATTTCCGTTAACCATCTGTTTCTTTATTGTTTTATACAGATATTACTCGATGTTGTTTCAATATTCAACATGGTTGCGTCTATCTCCAAAAAAAAGCATGTAGTTACAATAAACCAGGAAGGAATTCAGGTATATGGGCTCCACTCTTCCGTTCTTTTCCAAATTGCAAAGCCTGCTTCTGTATAACCAAGGGATTCTTAATCTATTCCACTAGGGTTCTCATATCTGCCTTTCTAATTATCTTCACAAAATAGAAGTTTTTAAATTCTTTTCCAATATATTTACAGGTCTTTAGAGAGTTTTACCCTACAAATGATGAATTTGTCCTCTTAGAGTGTGTTTGGAAAGAAGGCAAATTTATATTGCAAGAAAACAAACAAGAAGTTGCGACTAACAATCAGGAAGAACATATTGGGCCAAATGTTTCTTCGGCCGCATCAACTGTGCGGTATCAGAGTCTTGAATCTTTTCTTGGAGGTAAGGTTTTTAATGGTATTATACTCGTGACTCCCTTCACATATTTACCTTTCTTAATATATATATATGTGCGTGCGCGTTCTTCATCACCTTGTATTAAGTATCCAATATTCCTCTTTGTCAATTGCATTTCAGCAGTAATACATTATGCTTCTTTGTAGAGCTAACTAACCGAATACAATTGCAATGTCTAGTAACCGCCATTTTTCTGTCTTCTAATTCTTTGTATGCAGACTTGATTTTTGTTTTCATCTTATTATGAAAAGAAAAATAAACTCTAGTGTACTTGTATAACTTCTTTTTGGGTTTGGGTGTAGATGATGAACCTGCTACCAAGCAGGCAGAGGCAAATCAAAGTAACGAGAAAGGTGTTGATCTAATGAAAATGAGTAAGAATGATTTGCTCGCAAGCCCCTCCGAAAGAGTTAACGAAATTTCTGTCAAAGATATTACAGAAACAAAAGACAGTTCAATCAGTCCCGCAGCGACCTCGAGCCAGACATTCATGCCTCGAGGAGGTAGTTCTCTTGTAAATTCAAGCCCCTCCTTGGTTGGTGCAAAAAAACTGCATTCGAAGAGGCCAGCATTTGTTTCAATTAAACCTCCCAACCCGATTACAACTAGTGCAGTGGGAATTCAGTTCAACGAAACCAAAGCTGATAGTGTGGAGGAGGATCCATTTTTCGCTTTTCTCACCGGTGGGAAACCCAAAAGCAGTCTATTTTAGCAGTAGAGAGAATTCTAGTAAGCAGTCGTATGTTTTTATTAGAAAGTGCATAAATGCATTGTTTATGAAATATCATCCAATAGTATTTATTCATAAATTTTGAGAGCAGTGCTGTACAATCATGTATGATTATAGGTAGATAGATAGGTAAAATCAAGTTTAATTCTTGGAGTTTAGGCTTAATTTGATAATGTTCTTGTTTTCTGAACTTGTCTAGGATTTTTATCAACATTCTCAGAGAAAATGAAAGCCAGAGATCATTACTAGTCATTCAAAATACTCCAAAAACAAGTGTACCATATTGTGATTAACATCCGAAGGCAGTGAAATACAAATCTTAAACCTCTTTCTAAGCCTATCCCAAAACAGAGCCACTTACCAACCAAATCATAGCTTCTCAACAGAAAAATTAAGAATAAAATCCTTGATTTCTTGATTAGGTGCCCTATCAATGGCGGTTCGGCCATCTACATCTTTAACATCATACTTAGCCCCAGCTCTCAATAGCTCCTCAAGCTTTGGTTTGTCCCCTTCTGAGGCAGCTAGCATCAGCAAAATGTCCACTGGGTGAATGTCTTGGCTCAAAAGAGCCTCCATTTTGTCATACGTACCCTCCACAGCGAGCATTCCCATGTAGTTAAAGTACTGCACAACCAAAATGTTCACTCGTCAATTCTTCTTCTTCTTCCTTTAAAAACTTGAGTTAAGAGCTTTTGGTCTCTAGCTTGAACAATCATGTTGGATTTGCAAAGCTAGCAATTGTTGGCGCTTATCATTTGATACCAGAGCATTTGGTTGACGTTATTTGGCCGGCTCTAAAGGTGAAACATCTTTAGGTCGTTAAGTTAGCTTTATTGGTGAAATTTTGCATGGATTAAGGACCCTTTAACTCTGTAAATCCAGCAATTTTTTGCGCTTATCACAACTTTAACTTTAATACCAAGATAAGATAATACATACCTATCCTATAAGCCAGTTGAGTTGAGCTATAATGAATGATTGGATTAAGAACATCAAAAATAGACTTCTGTATATAATTTGGGATAGCAACATGCTGGGTTATTATATATTCATCTAATTGGAAAGCTTGATACAATGGTTTTTCTGAAGAACACCTGAAGAACACCTGCTCTTCAACAATCACAGTTCCCAAATGACAAGAAACAGAAATCCATAGAACAAGAAGAAAGAAGAACCTGCTCAACATCGTCTCTGATAAAGTCGTCTCGGGACTGGCTGCCATAAATGCCTGCACCTTCGGCATTTTGCCTAAGGTTGAACCAGCAGGTTGCTCTAGAGCCGTTGGAGGGTCCAATGGCGATGGGTGAGACCCATCGGAGGTTGGATTGAAGACCGAGAAATTGGGAACCCAATTTGAGTGGGGGGCGAGAATTGAAGGATGCTGGGGAGAGATTTATGGAGGTAGAAGTACAGGAGACAGAAGCCATGGCTGAGTTTTTGCAAGTTTTGTAAGAGGAGGATGAGGTTTTGCTCTCGCAGTGTGCTGCAGATTCTATCCATCCACTCGGAATCCAGTGGGCCAATAATGGGTATGTAGAGACTGTGGGTAACTGTTTGCAGAAGAGATCTTGGACGTTGAATGGGTTTTGACAGAGATGAAATCTTGAATGATACAGAGATGGGGTGGTGAATGGTGATGAACTGATGATGAGATAGATGGGCTTTGATGGCCCATCCCTAACAACTAACAATTTATAAATGTGGGTTAGGGAATGGGTTTGGATTTGGAGGGAGTGAGTTCAAAACCCATACTCTCCATTTTTTTTTTGTCATAATTATGTTGGATTTGTTTTACTAACTACTTTAATATTTATGAACCTTCCAAAATTTAAGAAACTATTTTTGGGAGCAATTTCATTTTTTATCAATTAATGTGGATATATATTTTTCTAATTTTTGTATATTTGTAGACTACTTAGTAATTCATTACAATTCTTTCACGTATAAGAAAATAAATAAAATGTCGTACATAATGAAAATTAATGTGTCAGTAAGACATGTTGAGAGCTTGTTCCTCTTGATCCTCTATAGGCTTCGAAATATACAAATATTGTCCACGTTCGTGAGCATATAATGGTTAAAAATTGGTATGAAAAATTGGTATGAAGATATTGTGAACTGGTGGTCTATATCATTACTATTGAGGTGGAACGACCAACACCACCCTACCTATGAGTTAGAAGGTGTGCCTATAACGTTTGAAGTACTCTACTTGGAAGTTAAATTACATCATATTATCCCGTCTATACGATAACAAATTTTCATAAACATACACTAATGTCATACTTAATTAATGTGCACTCTTGACCAAAAAGTAACCAAAAAGTAAATTACCAAGACCACACGTGTGATATAATTAATAAAAATAAAACTTCCATTATTGGTCAGTAATTAACGCATATTAGTATTTTACATCATTAAATGAAACAAGACCCAACTCAGTTTAATTCAATACCCACAAAGATATTACCATGATTCAATTTGGTTTAAGTTGCCATGTTCTCTTCTCCTTTTTCAACTCCCAAAAAGAAAAAACCAACAAACATTTCTATAATATTTCGCATTCTCAAGCTACGAACTCCATCTAAGCATGTCAACATTTGCTTAACGACATGCCTTTGGCTAAGAAGTTAGAAATTCAAATGACAGTTCGTTTCATGGATTACATAGACATGGAGAATTGGAATTGAGTTACATAGACAACGGTTCAAAAAGAGCAAAAGTGTGGTAAAAAATTTCACATCAGCCACAGCATAAACACATCCTTCAGAAGGCATCCAGAGTCGAACGACAGATGGCTGTTGATGTCGGTTAGTTTAGTTAGAAATTCATTTTGGTATATATCTATTTGGCAGAATACCAGTTTTGTGCACACTTGGCATCCACAGCAAGGTCGACTTTAAGAATATTCTTTCCATTGAAGGGTTTCGACATGCAATCGACAACAATGGCCTTAGCAACCTCAGCTGACTCAGTTGGTCCTTCCAAGATCACTTCATCATGAACCTAACTTTCAGGAGAAGTGTTAATTCATGCAGTATCTCACAGATAAGTACAGAAAAATAGGGTGCTGCAGGAAGGGATGCAAGTTATAATTGAAAAATAACCAACAGAAACACAAGTCTTGAGATATTAAATCGCAGGTAAGATAGTGATGACTGACCTGCAAAAGCAGCCTCCATCCAAGTTCCCTCAAACGTGAATTTTTAGATATTTCCAACATGGCACACATGGCAACATCGGCAGCACTACCCTGTAACATACCAACGTTCGTGAACCAAATTTAATACTGGAGATTGGGACGAGGAAAAGCCAAGAAAGGAAATTTATGTACAAACCTGCACAGGCGTATTAATAGCAGCTCTTTCTATATGCCCTTTTTGGGCACGAGTAACTTGCTTCATTGAAGGAAACTGACGAGCTCGTCCAAGCAATGTGCGAACACATGATTTCTTCTCGGCCTCTTCCCTTCGAAGTTCTTGCCATCTACGAACCTCTGTTCTTTCATTATACCACAAGTCAACTGTCTTACTTGCTTCCTCCACGGTAACCTGAATGGTGAGGTAACCAGCCGCCAGTTAGCAACAAAACGATATTTAGACAGAAAGTTGGTTTTGGAAAATACCTTCCAATCTTTGGAAAGGCCAATAGGAGTCTTGCCATATGCAATGGAAAAATTAAGCATTTTAGCTTTCCTTCTTTCAGAAGCAAAGGCATCCTGCAGAAGAGAAAGAAATGTTCACATAAAAGAAATCAAAAAACAAGAGATCGTTTAAATGGCACTTTGTTCTTGCTGGACGAACATGGTTGCACAAGAATAGACAAAAGGATAAGAAACTGCATATATTAAAATGAAAATGCATCGACAGGAATTACAATAAATAAAAAATGACTGATAAGTAAATAGAAAATAAATAACAATTGAGTTCAATTTTGTGTATCAAATGATAAACGCAAGGGTTTCAAATACAAAGCATCTGATTTACATAAAAAAAAATAAAAAATAAATAAATAAATAAATAAAGTTAAAAAGACTTGGTTGACTATGTTGGAGGATGAAATATTACTACGATGAAGAATCTCCGTCAGGACCAACAGTTCAAGATTGCAAAATCACCTCTCTTAAGGAATCCAATCACCCACAAACCTACTCCGACTGTGTCTCCAATCGTGAATATATTGATCTTCTAAGCTACACGTGAGACCTCCAATCATGAATATTCCTCAACAGTCTACATCCGACAATCCGAGCATAGGTTATCAGTTGTAACCATGTTGGGCTAGGTACAATCAAACAAGCCTAGATGGTGGAAGATTGAGATCCAACAGTAAGGTTAGCCTACGAGGAGAAACCAAGGCCCCATAATGGCCCATAGTGGCACTAACAAGGCAACCAGAGCCCATCACAAAACGGCCAAACTAGATCATTAATGTCACTTAGACCTGACTGTTACACTTCTTGAAAAGGCGATGAAACCAAAGGGAACCGCCCACTAAAAGACTCTCGAATGCTGAGTACCAGGCAAAGACTCGAAGGGGCTTTGTTTTAGGTGTGATGAGAAGTAGACCTAAGAGAACCTTTGTAAGAATTGAGAAATTTGGGAATTAAGGATTTTGGTAGCTAGTGCCGAATAAGAAAATATCGATTGATATAGAGGAAATGAAAGAGAGAACCCCCCAAGTGAAGAATTTGGAAGTAGAAGATTCGATGGAATTAGCTATGCTCCGTCATGCTGTTCGTCACCAAGAAAAATGAAGGTGAAAGGATAGGTGAATCAAAGAAGTGTAGTGGTTCTTATAGAATGCAAAGCTACGCATAATATCATCTTTCAGTTGCTAGTAGAAGAGCTGAAGTTACTCCTCACTGAGACAGCGAACTATGGTGTAGTGATATGGGAAACAGAGTTTCCATTTGTGGTATAGGAGTCTGTAACTCAGTTGTAGTTTGCCTACCCCACTGAGATCACTGTAAGGGAATATTTCCTACCCCTAGACCTAGGAGGGGTAGATGTAATGTTGGAAATGCAATGATCATGGAAGATGGGTTTGTGGGTGTGGATTGGATGTCGCTAACCAAGACCTTTTTACCTCGGTAGAACAAGGTGACATGTGAGGGGATCTTTCCCTCACTAAGGCCTAAGGTCTCAGTAAAAATACTTGCCCGAACTGGACAGACTAGAACATGGGCTTCTTAGTTGAATTAGATATGGAAGGCGTTGTAATAAGTTTTGATTTGGTTTGATTATTTGAATTAGATTTGATTTGGTTATTTGAATTAGATTTAGTCATACCAGATTTAGAATGCTATATAATAGCTAATAGCTAATTTTATTCCGGAAAGAATTAGAGATTTCTCCCTCCATTTCTAATTAGTGGTATCGGGATTTGGGGAGTTTTGTGGGTCACATTGTATTTCTTGAGTGACATATTGGTTAGTCTTTGTAGAGTGATAGTGAGGTATTCACTTGTAACACTTTGTTTATTAGTGATTGGTTGCTACCAGTGGATGTAGGGGAACTTCTTCTCTCCGAACCACGTAAATATCTTGGTGTCTCTTTGAATAATTTCGTTCATTGGTGTTGTGAGTTCATTTGTTCCGCTTTCGGTGCACAACAAGTGGTATCAGAGCCTGATTTTGGTATTTGAGGTATTGTGAAAGTTTTGGCCTCATCGACCACTAGACGTGCTCACAATCATGCTTATTTTCTTGAAAATCAATTTTCAAAAATTGTGTTTTTAGTTACATCCAGATTAATTATTGCAAATGGCAAAATCATCTGGAATTAAATTACTGCGTGGATCGAGATTGTTGAGTTCCAATCTTGAAGTAGAGAAATTTGATGGAACCAATCATTTTGGTGTTTGGCGAGGCGAAGTTAGCGATTTGCTGGTTATACAAGACCTTGATGCTTCTCTCGAAGAGAAGATGCCTGAAGACATGACAGAAGCAGAATGGACGAAATTAAACCGGCAAGCTTGCGGAATTATTCGATCCTGTCTTGGCAAGGATCAAAAATATCCATATATGAAGGTGACCATGGCGGAACCATGGGACAAGCTTGAGGCGAAATATATGAAGAAGAATGGAAAATAAACTCTATTTGAAGAAGAAACTCTTCCGTTTTGACTACAAGAAAGGTATCTCAATGGTTGAGCATTTGGATGATTTTAACAAAATCATCACTGATTTGCTCAATCTTGATGTTAAGATTGATGATGAAGACAAGGCGATGTTATTAAATTCTTTGTCAGAGTCCTACGAGTTTTTAGTAACCACCCTACTACATGGAATCACTGACATTAATTTTGAAGATGTTTCAAATGCCTTGATGAATAATGAGGTGCAAAAGAAGGAAAATGAGGCATATCAAGATTCTAGCTCAAATGTTCTCACCGCTCATGGAAGGACTTCTACTTTGAAAAAGAGCGAACGTGGAAAGTCCCGATCAAAGTCGAGAGGTAGATCTAATAATTGGAGAAAATTTGATAAAAATGAGTGCGCATATTGTCGATAGAAAGGTCATTGGAAGAAAGAGTGCCCAAGCTTAAAAGAGAAGGGGTTGAAGTCCAATATGGTTAGAGATGACGACACTGATACAGATAACGCCTTGACGATCTCCTTATCAGTCAGCCAAACTAGTGAATGGATTCTTGATTCTGGGTGCTCCTATCATATGTGTACCAACAAAGAGATGTTTTTGAACTTCAAAGAGTTCAATGGTGGAGTTGTCTATATGGGCAATGATAGTACTTGCAAGATGACGAGAATCGGCTCAGTACAAATCAAGATGTTTGACGGGGTTAAACGAAAACTCAATGATGTGAGGTATGTCCCTGACTTCAAGAAAAATTTGATTTCCCTTGGCGTTTTGAATGCGAGTAGTTATCGAATCATTTTGGAAGGAGGGAATTTGAAAGTAGCTCGTGGAGGTTTGGTGGCAATTAAAGGAACTAGAAGAGGTAGCATATACTACCTCAACGGAACCACAATAATTGGGCATGATGCTGTGGCAAGTTCGAAAGAACAAAACATATCGAAATTATGGCACATGAGACTTGGGCATGCGGGGTGAGAAGGCGCTTCAGACATTGGTAAACCAAGGAGTCCTTAAGGATGCCACAATGGTAAAATTGATTTATGTGAACATTGTATATTTGGTAAACGAAAAAAAAATGTGAAGTTTGGTACAGGTATACACCAAACAAAGGGCATTTTGGATTATGTTCACACTGATGCATGGGGTCCCACGAAGAATGTCCCATTGGGAGGAAAGAGGTGGTTTGTCACCTTTATTGATGACTACTCGAGGAGAGTTTGGATGTATCCCATGAGGCACAAAAACGAGGTTCTCCAAATCTTCCTAGAGTGGAAGAAAATGGTAGAGAATCAGACGGACAGGAAAATCAAAAAGCTGAGATCAGACAACGGTGGAGAATATACTTATGATTCATTCCTTAAAGTATGCTGAGATGAAGGGATCGTTCGACACTTCACTGTTCCTGATAAGCCACAACAAAATGGAGTTGCTGAGAGAATGAATCAGACATTAATAGAGAAGGTTCGATGCATATTGTCTCAAGCAGGATTGAGTAAGACATTTTGGGCTGAGGCTCTCAGTTATGCAGTTCACTTGGTGAATCGTTTACCTGTTTCTGAAAATGGTGGGAAAACTCCGCTTGAGGTATAGTCAGGTACTCCTGTTAGTGATTATGATAAATTGCATGTGTTTGGGTGTCTTGCTTATTATCATGTGACAGACTCAAAACTAGATCCTAAAGCAAAAAAAGCCAAGTTTATGGGCTTTAGCAAAGGCATGAAGGGCTATATAGATATGGTGTCCAGAAACAAGTAAGATGGTTAATAGTCGAGATGTGACATTCGATGAGTCTGGAATGTTTTTGCAGAAAATTGAAAATAATAACGAGGCATTGAAGCAGGTGGAGAAGGTGTGTTCTCTCCTGATATGGTTGCTCCTAAAGAACCGATTGATCAGGTAGATAATAACTTTGATGTCTTAGAACAGGAGGAGCAAAGCCTTGTAAATGAAAGAGTGATCAGAGTAGATAATAACTCTGATGTCTTAGAAGAGGAGGAGCAAAGCCTTGTAAATGAAATAGTGGAGGAACCTGAGTCCATCGCCAAGAATAGACCACGAAGGAAAATTCGAAAACCTGCAAGGTTTGATGATACGATAGCATATGCTTTCTCTATGATTGATGAAGTTCCCAACAGTTACAAAGATGCTATTCAGAGGCCGAATAGCTTACATTGGCAATAGAATATGAATCAGCAAATAAATCAAATTTGGGATTTGGTACAACTTAACAAAGGTAAAAAGGAAATTGGTTATAAATGGGTTTATGGGCTTGAGGTGGTGGCACAAGAGATCTATTGACAGAGATTGTTGTAAATTGTCTCAATTTTGATTTGATTTGGTTATTTAGATTAAATTTGATTTGATTATTTGAATTAGATTTGGTCATACCAGATTTGGTCGATTTGATTCTGTAATGCTATAGAATAGCTAATAGCTAATTTTATTCTTCAAAGAAAAGAATTAGAGATTTCTCCCTCCATTCCTAACTAGTGGTATCTGGATTTGGGGGAGTTTTGTGGGTCACATTGTTCCTAACTAGTGGTATCTGGATTTGGGGGAGTTTTGTGGGTCACATTGTATTTCTTGAGTGTCAGGGATTTGGGGGAGTTTTGTGGGTCACATTGTATTTCTTGAATGACATATGGGTGAGAGTCTTTGTAGTGTGATAATGAGATATTCACTTGTAACACTTTGTTTATTAGTGATTGGTTGCTACCCAGATGGAGGAGAACTTCTTCTCTCCGAACCACGTAAATATCTTGGTGTCTCTTTGTGTAATTCCATTCATTGGTGTTATGAGTACATTTGTTCCGGTTTCGGCGCACAAAAGAAGGATCACCAATGGGGAAGAGGCTAGCAAAGACGATGCCAACTTGGATGTTCACAGGGAAATGCATTTGCCTTGGTGGAATACAACCGTATCTTTGAGTTACCAAAAGGCATTCCACCAGAGCGGCCAGCTGATTATGCTGTTGGCCAGATCAACGTCAAATTTTATAAGTATGATAAAAATTTTATTTTGAAAGGCTGATCAGTGAGATGCTCGCTTCTACGGTCATAGCACCAATCTATTCTCTAGCCCCGTGCTTCTAGTGAAAGTGGTGTTGCGAGGTTTTGTGTAGATTACAAGGCACTAAATCAGGCAACTATTCCGGTTAAGTTTTGCTTTTCATACAGTGTTCATACTTTCAAGACATTTAGGTCCATGTGAAAAGTTTTGCATTTTTTGGGTGTCATGATACAAAGGTTCTCTCTACTTATAATGGTGGATTCCAAAACCAACTAGAACAAACTCACTCAAACAATTACCTAACGAAATACCATACCATAACTACTACAAAACAAACAGACTGACGACTATTAAAATTAACAAACTAACGCTAAAATAATAGCACATCAAAAGAAATTACTAATTGAATCTGACTCGCAACATCAAAGCATGTCAGTGGACAATTCAAGTGTTAAAGATAAAGCATTTCCATTTCATATCATTTCTAAGATAATAAGAGAAACGGATACCAGTTTGTTATACTTTGGAAAACTAACACTCCAATAAAACGAATCACATTTGCACACATTTTCTCGTAACAAAAACATCAGTTTACCTTCAACAATGGAACTGGAGGTTTATCTTCCCCAGGTTGAGGATCCCACTCAAGAAGCACGCTTCCTTCTTCAACAGCTTTACGAATATGAGGGTACATATTCATTGCAGTTCTTGAATGGAAATCTCCCCCAGCTTTAAAGGCGTCCAGCATGCTCTTACAATTGGCAAGATGAGCAAGAATCCTAAGTTCCAGCTGCAAAAGGAATCTACATTTTAATCATTAATGTTCTCTTTTCTTTATGCGATTATATAATTGAAGCCAATAGATAACAAAAAGATAGCAGCGGAAGATGGGGTAAATCTAAATTACACACCGCATAAACAAGTCATCTCCCATTCATTAACAAAATTACCTGGCCATAATCAGCAACAATGAGGGAATTTCCAGGAGAAGCTATAAAGGCCTGACGGATCTTATATCGGTCCTTTTCCAGAGCCGGTTGATTCTAGTACAGAAAAAATATAACCAACGCAAGTCTCCATTAGAATCATAGTTCACAAGGAATATATGAACATAAAGATCACTTGAAACTGAGATGAGAAACACACTCACACAGAAGGCTAAATGTAAAACAATTTGTGCAAAAAAATAGCTAGCAATAACCATAATATTTTACATAATGCCTGTTATAGGATTTAGTACTCTGCGATCATGATAAGCTCTAAGCTTCTAGTCGCTATGAGGTGACACTATCTAATAGAAGAAGCAAACCTACTTTCCCATGGAAATCATCACAGATCTCTTCAGTGCCAAATGCAAATATAGTGGAGACTAGTTAACTATGAACCTGCAAACTTGGTCTCCGAGCGGAGAGGCGGCCAGTTTCTGTGTTGATGTTTAGAGAACAATGGACACGCCCATTCTTACCAGATATATTGCTTCCCTGCAATAGAAACAGCCAGTTTCACTGCAAGTCAAAAATTGTGCCTAGAATTTGAAGTCCAACATATGAAAATCATAAGTGTTGATCAGAGTAAGAGAAGGACTCCATGTTTTGAAACTTCAAAGCTGCATGTTCATCAATCAAAATCAACATGTCTTCAGATAACTGTGCATAAATCAAGTGAAGCAGTATATAATACTCTGAACTAGTTCCTTCTAGAACCTCAGGCACATATAAAAGTCAAAAAGTCATAATGGCAAACAAAGTTACTTACACCTACCTTCTAAAGTTCTTCCCCTACCACCAGTAACGGGTCAAAATTAGCAAAAGTTCCATTAATTATCGTGACTCTTTTGAAAGGATATTATAAATGGGCATAAATGGGGACTTCGCAGAAGAATTTCACCTGTAAGGGAAGGATGAAATTTGATATCAAAGAGTCAATAGAGCAGATTTCGCATAAAGCAGAAATAGCATGACAGGCTTCCATGCCCTCCTCCTTCAATTTAAATGCTGTTAAAGTAGTTCCATAATCAGACATATTTGCACATTCATGAATTATACGCCTTCTGTTTTCTTCACGAGGCATTGTCTCAAAATCGTTGACAACCTCAGTGTCAGACTGCGAGTTGTCGGTGAAGTCATCAAATTCTGCAGAGACCTTGCCTGCTAAGATCTTCAGAGCATCCCTACTCACTGAAGGCCAACCAGTTGCTGTGTACAATTCTGTTGAGAGAGCCTCATCACTGAAGCGACGTAAAGTAATATTCCGAAACTTGCTGGGAGTTTTCTTCCCTTCTTCAGTGACTTTTTCACTGTTTGGAATTTTGAATGTCCTTTCAGTTGGAAGAGACTCTTCAGGGTTCTTACTGTAAAATGAAAAAATAAGGAAGCATGACTTTTCAAACGAATCAACAAGTTTGAAGCTAAAGGATCAGAAACATGTCCATTATCAAAGGGGAATAGGCATTAAATTGTGTAATAAAGAGCTTAACAACTTGCACAAGTCCATGTCCACAAATAGTAAATAACTCATAATTGTAATTTTTAAAAAGCCAAAAATATTATTTAGAGCATAGACTAATTACCTGTTACAAGTGCCACCAAAGAGCAATTGGCGCAGTTGTGCATCACTTCCAACATTCATGTACCTGGCATCAGGGCAGTACTTTGAAGCCCAGTTTCGAAATCTGTTAGCAGCAATCTCTTGTTCTGCTTTGGCCAATTTTTCTATCTCAGCAAGATATGGCCTATCAACCAGCATTCCCTCAGTTTCCATTCTGACAAGAACTTCACCAAATGGTTTCCAATAATCTTCATAAAAGTTGAACATTGTTTTATCCGGAATCCTTTCTCCATCTCTCTCCCAAGGCATGTCAGACAGTGTTTTTTTCAAGCTCTCATAAAGCTTCAGCGTGCATATTGAATCTAATGCAGAATAAGATACCCATGGTTTCCGTTCTTCTCGTTGAAGTTCTTCAACAGGGGGAATGACTATAAGTTTGCCTTCAGATCCATCCTTTTTCATCTTCTTCCGGCCAAAGATAGTTTTCATGGACACTTTACCAATCAACTCCTTTTCCTGGCCCAATTTAGCCCCAGACATGACCTTTGTATCATAAGAAAGAGCTTCAAGTGAATATCCACCATTCATTCTCCTTGATGAATCCCATAACCGTGCCATGTGCATCGTGTCAGCATGGAAGCCAGAAATCTTAATCCCATAGTTTTCAATAATGTGATTGTCAAAGCTGTAGTTGTGCCAGACCTAATAGGAAGGCAGGTTTGGTCAAAACCAAACTATCTTCTGAGTTACAGCATACCACACACATGCACATGTTGCATTCTCATAATTTAACTAATACAAGTGAATAAATGGTCAGAATACTTAGCCAATCTTATCAAAAAAAAAAAAACAATTATGATGCATTTGATATATGAATGAGAAAACCGAGCTATAGCAGTTTTGGAATCTATCAACAATATGTTCAGAAGCCAACATCTAGAAGACAAAGCTTTGTCCATCTCCCCGAGTGTGTCCCAACTATTTATCTGACGGTGGATAATGTGTCTAGGGTGAGTTTGCATACCACTTTTAAAAACATTTTTTCTTAAAACACTTCTAATAGAATTGGTTTTAATTAAAACATTAAGTTGTCTGGTTACATTTTCTTAAAAATGATTTTAAATTACAAGTTTGTTTGGTTGTGCTGCATCTAAAATTGATTCTACAAATATTAAATTACAACAAAGTGATTGCCGACCAATCACTTTAAAATCAAGTTTTGGAAAACCAACTTGAAAATTCTTTTAAAAAGTAATGTATATTCGCAACCAAATATTGCATACTTTAGAAAGAAAAAGAAAATAATGTTGAGTAATCCAAAATGACTTAGGAATTTATGCCAAAAGACACCCTTATTCTCTGCAAACTAGTCCCAGAAAAGGAAACCTCCTTTATCAAAAAATTTGGCCTACATTAGTCTCCTAAAAAAGGGTCCAAGAGGAACAAAAAGAAATACCTTTCTAATCAAAGGATCTTCGAAGAATGGTGCAAATTGACGCAAAATTTCCTTACCGCCACCATCAAGAACATCCACCCAGATGCAAGACTTTCCATTTCCAAAATCTGCTTTCGGTCCTGAATAAATGCTGAAGCATATTATTTCACCATGGTCAACGGGTGTTTCTTGCTTCACATCAATCTTGGCCACCTTAAAGAAAATAGAAAAACAGAACAAGGATTGAAGAAATTTCACAAGTATGTGCCCATCATCATATGACAGAACTTGGGAGTAAATTATACAGTTATGTTGGATCTATTGGTCTGTTGGCCTGTTTCAAGGCAGTAAAGGTACATAACGCAGAGAACGAAAATAAAGTAAGATTTAATCACCTCAGTATCGCAAGCATGCACCAGATTCTTGTACTTGGTAGTAAGCATTGAAACAACTTCCTTTGCTGCAGATACACCATCAACAACAAGAACGCTTTCATATACACCATTAAGCCTCTCCTTTATATCTGGCTTATCAGCAGTTGCAAGTACTTCCATCATCTTGGTGACACTTCCATTGACGATCACTTTAGAAAATTCTTCCACAGCTACACCCTTATTTATTCCATTAGCAGCTTCAGTAAATTTCGAAGTTTTTCGTACACTATTCACCTTTCCCAAAGAGATATTTCTATTTCTGCCATTAGGTGAAACGTTTGGTACGTGTCGAATAATTAATCCCTTTCCATTTTGAGAAACAGAATACTTTTTGTTACTTTGAATAGGAACAACCTGACTATGCAAAACATTATTTGCAGGCTTGCTCATGGACCATTCCCCAGAATAAGAATTAGTGTCTCCATTGCATTCACCACGTGAAAACTTGACAGTCTCAAGTAAAGGTACCCTGTCACTAATCATCCTATCTATAGCTGTAACATTTTCAGTTCGTTCAAAATTTATAGGTTCTTGTCTGCTGAATTCATCCGATAACATATTAGTTGGAGGGTTTATACAATTAGGATCATTACAAGCATTGGAACAGTTGCTTCCCAAATTTGACTGAACCTTAGAATATGGGGGGGAAAGACTGTTGTAACAATGCAAAGTCCCATAGTCAATGAGATTTTCTTTTTTTCTTAGCTTTTCTTCGTCATTCTTCGTCAGGATCTCAGTTTCTGAAAACCTAAAGAGCTTCTCTTGTTTCAGCTGCCTAGTACTCTTAGACCAATCATTTACATCAGACAGAAACGCCCTCTCCTTGTCATGTTGTCTAGTTTCAAAAAATGAATTGGTGTGCAAGAAAGAACTTTGTCGACACTGCAAGGAAGCATGAAACATATTCACATTTGGAGAAGTGCTGCCAACATTCTTCAGAGGACAAAATTCAGCCCTGCAAATCAATATTTTCAGAAATATTAGGGTCGGAGTTCTTCACAACCATACTCTCACTATAATTGATCAATAAAGTGCGCAATGTGAGATACATAAACAATTAAAACAACAAAATGGATGACCCAAGAAAGGTCAGTATCACTTCTGCTAAATTTGACTTTGATTACCTAAGACACAATCACGCTCATATTTAAAGGTAAATGTCCTCCCCATAGATGAATCCAAATAATATGACACAATTTTATGGACTAGACAACGATATAGGAGAAAAGAGCTAAAGTGCCTAGAAAGATAACCGATATACTTCTTCATGAGTGAATTTAAAAGCCTCAAAACTCATACTAAAGAACCATTACCATAATGCTTCAAATCATATTCAAAGAAAGACATTCTACCAACAAGAAACAGAGTGAACAGAACAGGAGGTTAACAACGAGTTCATTTTTTCAGATATCATCATGATGATAACTAAAAATTCCTAGAAATCACACCCACCAAACATGTCCTTCCCCATATCACAAGTTCCCTATCACATGCAGGGGGAGGAAACTCACTTCGCAGTTTCAATCAAGAAAGCTTCTAACAAATGTCTGGAACGAACAACAAGCACATAAACACACACACAAAAATGCAGCTAATTCCCCATACAGAGGACAAAATGTTCTCCACGCCCCGATTAATAACAAAAAGGATAACACAAAAGCCTCCCGTAAAGAACAAACCCAAGAGAAAAGTGACCTGTAGAGCCTCTTGGAGGAGGCGCAAATGGAAATAGAAGAATTAGAAACAGAGTTGGACCGCCATAGAAAGAAATAGGAGGGCCATTGAGTAATCAACGAAGAGGCTTGGGAAGTGGAGGCCCCCAAAGTGATCATCTCTGCAACTCTGCCCAGCTTGCTCCAGGAGTGGCTTATAGAAGGAGCCGTTTTGAGAAGTTTGGGCTAAACCAAAGTTCAGAGGGGTTTATAGTGACTGTTGCCTCAGGGCTGTGGGTCTGAGCACGGCCATGGCGGAGGGGCGAAGGTTAAACCCTGGGGGAGTGGGAGTGACGACTGATGAGAGAACACCAAAATTAACGTACAAATTTCATGCCTCCCACTCCCGTTACATTTCTGATTTAATTTTGTCGGCCCCAACAGAAATTATAATTAAAATTATTTATCATTTTAAAATGAATTTTAAATTTGGTGTGACAGATAATGGGTTAATTTTCTCTAAATTAATAAAAATCCATTTAAATTTAATTTAATTCAATAATATTCTTAAACTTTCAAAAAAAAAATTACTACCAATATATGAACGAAAACTGTCTATCAACACCTCATAATTATCTACTTTTAAAAGTTTATGTGTATTTTTTTAAATATAGTACTAACAATATGCGTATTTTTTAAGTTTTTTTAAAAAAGTTTAAAAACGCTTTGAAGTTTTTAAAAAAGTCGAGGGTACTAAGAATGTATGTTAAGACTTATTCCAGAAGAATAACCCTTGGAGCAAGAACTTAAGAACCCCATGAAACTAAGAAAACGCTCTAAAGATAAGTACAAAACAAGCCCTAAGTCCATTAAAACAAGAAGATTGTTAGGTACTACTCAAAAACGAAGGACCAAGGTCCTAAGACTCAAAACTTAAGAACCCCTACAACTCTCATGCGACAATATAATCATGACTAAGGTTACATTGCTTGAATCATAAGAAGCCTTTGATGTAAGTTCTCATATTGTATCACTTGGAACATAAGAAGCCATGAATGTAGGTTTCAACTATGCTACTTAGAATGTATGAAGTCTTGGGCATAGATTTTCAGACTGCGCGTTTGGAATGTGAGAAGTCTTGGACGTAAGTTTTAGGCTACACCAATTGGAACATAAGAAGCCTTGGGTGTAGGTTTCAGACTATATGCTGGGAATGCATGAAGCCCTAGATGCAAGTTCAGACTATGTCGCTTGAAACAAATAAAGCCTTAGACGCAAGTTCCAGATTATATTGCTTAGAACGCATGTAGCTTTGGACACAGGTTGTCAAGTTCATGTCTTGTACCATAAATCCTAGGGAGGGTATTTTAGAGAACATTATCAGAAAATAACAAGAACTATGGACAAGGGCATAAATCAAGAACAAGAACCGAGTTCCAAAGATAAGAAACTAGAACAAGTATCAAGCTTCAAGTTTTCAGAGCTAAGAATCCAGAACCTTAGAATCAAAGTCCTTAGCATCATAACCTAAGAACTCAAAATCTAGGACCAAGGTCCTTGAGCCATAATCAGGAAAATAATTCAATACTCAAGAACAAAACTTAAGGACTTCAGGATAAGAAAAAGAACATGACATGAAAGAGTGTAGTACCCTAACATCAACCATGTACGCGATTTACCGAGTTTTTGTACACATTCCTATTCTCTCATGTTTTAAAGGTGACAAGAAGGGGTTGGTCGAGGATCGAAGCGAATCTGAACTACATGTCATATAGAGTCACATCATGTTTCAACTGTTTTAATGCTTTAAGGCTTTAAGGTATTTTGTTTACTAGGTCCAATATATTCAAATTTTATTTTGAATTTGTAAATAAAATGAATTTATGGTTTTTTTTTTATTCTTTTTTTTTTTTTCATTTTCAAGTTTTTACATAGTCGTGATCGTAAAAATCGGGTTGTAATAAAAGTTGTAGCGATCATATGTGTGCAAACAAGAAGTTGTTCTCAAATGTGTATCTATGTGATACAAAGTGGAGTAAGTAGATTCTACCCTTATTTATTCCCATTAGTGATATCAAAGCATTGCATTTATTTTTACTTAATCATGTCAATGAAATCCTCAAGTGTCGAACAAAGAAGTTGTCAACCTCGAAGGTGTAGTCATAATAACTTAGGTGTCGAAAAAATGGATGTGCTTTGTTTGAGGGCTACATAGAAGGAGGCCTCTGGGAAGGCTCTAAAGTCCCACATTGGCTAATGAAAGGAAAGATCATACTTATATAAGTGAGAGACACTATCTCTATTGGTACGAATCCTTTTAGTAAAACCAAAGAGTGAAGTCATGAGAGCTTATGCTGAGAGTGAATAATATCATACCAATATCGAGGTTTGTTGTTCCTAGAGGTTTGTTGTTCCTATCAAGTTTGTAGCAACTAGCTCTTGTGATTGTCAAAGGGTCTGGATGAGGAGAGTATTGAAAAAAACTTATCATTTTCAAGACAAGTGTATCACTGTGTTATGTATAACAATTCTACCATTAAGCTATCCAATCATGCATAAATGCAACGAACATATTGATATAAGGTTGCCTGATTTGACTGAGTCACACAATGACATTGGAACGGAGTTTGAGTTTACATTGGATCGATCTCTCTGTAGGTTAAATAGTGGTTATTGAGTTTGCATTAGATCGATCTCTATAGGTTAAATAGACACTTCTAGTCTCTATCTCATCATTAAACTTTTCTTGTATTTTTCTCTTTTGGTAATGGGTGGAGTAGAGGGGGGATTCCATGTCTGCATTTGTAGCATTTTACATTCATCAACGATTTGGCCAATCATTCTCAACGATTTGGCCAATCATGAATGATTGGTTCTGACACCATGTAAATGGAAATTTTACTTAATAAATGCTAAAGATATACCAAAAAAAAATTAATTAATTTCTATTATGAAAGGTTCATTTGGTAAGAGTTGATCAACTGAATATTCCACTTTCTTAGTTAGAATCCTGCCTAGGGAAGTAACTGCGTTTTAGATGTATACATAGGTAAAGCCGTGTGCAATGAAAAATGCAAGCACGGTTTGGGGAGGGATTTTTTTTACTTAGTTTTTAAAAAAGTAAGTTATCTACTCCATCCGACTAGTTCCGGGTTCGAGTCCCGGGCAATGGTGAGTGAACCTTTGCAGTTATTTACTTAGTTTTGAAGTAATTTGATATTTGCAGTTATAGCATCAAAGTTGGTTTGAGGTGCGTGAACCACACTGGCAATGGTGCTCGATTTCAAAGGAGGCGCGACAACAATCCTAAATCTATCCAAGGAACGAGTGCTAGAGGGACTTAGAGCTCAATTCCTTCAACCCCGAAGTTGATGATCTAATTAGCCTAATTTTTGGCGATTCATTGAAATTCTCGCAAGCTCTACCAATGTATTGGAGAATGGGTCAAACATAACTCTGAGTTGGGTCAAACATAATTCTAAGTTGATTCAATCTACTGAACACAAAATTAAAAGTGAGAGAATTCAAACACACTCCATTACGTACATACCAGCGTTAGAAAATAGACGTAAAATCCAACAGGGGCATAATGGTAAATATGCTGTAGCTACCTTGAAACAACCCTAGACCCTGGGAGGGGGAAAAAAAACATCAAAAAAAGAGGATGAAAGTTGTAATTCCGTTTGGCACATTGGTCCAGTATCCTTAAAATGGCTGTCATATTGGAAAATATTACAAAGAAGGAAATGAGGGGCCAAGCGCCAAGCTGCCCCAGTTAAAATTGCCAGACCTCCAACAACATCTTCTCTTTTTTTTCCTCTTAAAATGTTCCATTTTAAATCACCTCCCATCATCACCATCACCATCACCATCACCCTCCTACAATTTTATCTCCATCGTTCCTACTTCTATCCGGAGAACCTTCTCCTGAACCTGAATATGGTCCCAAATTTGAATCGTCATCGATGTCCTTGTCTGCAGCTAAGAATTCAATTGCTGTAACCACGTCGCTGATCAATGGTCTAGTACCCGCTTCCTCTTGTAAACACATGGCTGCTACTGCTAGAGCTTGATACAGAGCCTTCACTGAGTAATTTCCTTCTAGCTTTGGATCTGCCATTAGGGTAAATTTCCTTCTGTCTTTGAATAGTGGTTGTGCCTGCAATAAAACGAGAATTAACAAGTTTTTAGACAGATCTTTCAACGTTCGAGCTTAGAACGCTCGTCATACACAAAAATATCGATATCGACGAACATGCTAGGAAGTTTTTTCGTAGTTTGGAACAAGATATCGACATGTAAATCACATCACAAGATAAATTTAATGTTCTTCACTAATACCAAGATCAAATAATGAAGAAATGTCAAGAAAAATTGAAAACATTGACTTAATGATCTGTGTGTGCAGGTGAGAGAAGATAACAAACCAGAAAAAGCATACCCAAGTAATTAAATTTTGTTCTGCTGTTGGTCTAGCGTTGTCTATAACCCGTCTTCCAGTTATAATCTCCAGAAACACGACACCGAAGCTGTAGACATCTGATTTTGTTGTCAATTGTCCCGTAAGCGCATATTCAGGAGCACAGTAACCATAGGTTCCCATCACCCTAGTGGAAACATGAGATTTATCCCCAGTAGGACCCAACTTTGCAAGACCAAAATCAGAGAGCTTTGAATTGAATTCCTCATCCAACAATATGTTTGAAGCTTTGAAATCACGGTATATCACGGGCGGACTGGCGGTTTCATGCAAGTATTCAAGTCCTTTTGCCGCTCCTTCGGCAATTTTCATCCTCGTCTTCCAGTCCAGACACTGCTTATCTGGCGGTATATCTGAAAATAGGAGGCTCCAACTTCAAAATCCAATATAAAATTTTGTTGATGCAAGCTTAAGATCGAGCACCTTCGTTTTTCAATGTATGAATAAAAAATCCCAAGGTTTCATTGAATTTCGGTTACTAAAAATGAAACATTTACATTGAAACATACTATGTTTGTAGATGCAAGCTTAAGATCGAGCACCTTCGTTTTTCAATGTATGAATAAAAAATCCCAAGGTTTCATTGAATTTTGGTTACTAAAAATGAAACATTTACATTGAAACATACTATGTTTGTAATGTAACATGAAATATATCTAGATCTAGATGACTTCAACGAATTAAAACATATAATTCAGGGATATTATGAGCTCGTGATCGATTGAGAAACAAATCATTAGGTCATACCAAGAAGATGATCCTCCAAGGAACCGTTAGCCATGCACTCGTAAACCAAAATCCTCTGATCTCCATCAGCACAATACCCAACCAAATTCACAAGGTTAGGATGGTGAAGAAGGCTCAACATCAAAACCTCTACAAGGAATTCTCTGTTTCCTTGAAATCCATTTCGGTCAAGCTGCTTCACGGCCGTTACCTAAGGAAGACGAAACCAAACATAAATAAATAGAGAACTCGATAATGAATCTATTTCGCATAAACGAAAGTAAAGGTTGAATCACGATACTTGGTTTGTGCCTTCAAGGATGCCCTTGTAAACCCTTCCAAAACCACCTTCCCCCAATAGATTGTCTTGGCTGAAGTTATTCGTAGCAGTAGATAGCTCACCGAATGAAAAAACTTGAGCAGAGATGTTTCCTTTTCCTAACTTCTTTATCTCCTCAGTTATGTACCTTCGCCGACTGTTATCTGTGAGTCCACAGTCAAGTTTTTAGAATTAAACATTTGATCGGTGATTTGAAACTGCTACATTTTGAAGAATCAAGGCAACTAAGGCTTAAACAATGATCTTGTAGAATGTGTTGAATAAGAAGAGAGTTGAAATAACCCAGGAATTAATCCATCAAACATTTACACATGTATGAAGCAATGAAATAAATTACTGCCAAAAGATAGTTAGTGATTAAGAAATATAACCCGTTCCGAGAATGAAACTACCAAATGCCTCAACCATATAAAGTTTCCTAGCTCAAATACCATACTCGACCGAGGAAGATACAAGGCTGAAACACATTTGGAATTCCAACAAACTCCAAATTCTAGGTATGTTTTAGGGGATAAGGCCAAAGCAAAGCCATGAGAGCTTATGCTCAAAGTGGACAATATCATACCATTGTAGAGAGTCATGATTACTAACATAATATACATTTATTTGGAGAAAAACAGATACTCTCTACCATAAGACATAAGACAAATCGAAACTCAAATATCACGTTTGAGAGAGGAAACACATTCTGAGTTCCACTGAACTATTAAAAACTAACACAAGGGGGAATTCTTGGAGTGTATTAATGCCTCAAACCATATCAAGATTCAATATGCTGAAACACTGATTTTGAGCAAGAACGATCGAAACCCGAAAACGCGTTTTAAATTCCAATGAGCTAATAAAACCTACATGGAGATTTAGACTTGAGATTGAAAAAATAGTGATATGCAACCAATGTGAAGAGAGCCAACCAGATTTAAAGGAAATGTTGGCAAATGAGGATAGAGCTTTTGGCTCCTGATGCTCCTTAACGCTCTTTTTGGAAGATTTCCTTTTGACTTTCTCCTCTGACATACAACATTGAAAGCAATTCATCGTCCTTTTCCTCTTTTTTTCTCAAAAAAACTCAAATGGAAGTCACAAACGGCAGTATTCTAGATGTTGCATTGAACGAATCCACGAAAAATCAAAGCACATAATAACAGAGAAACAGAAATAAAAGGCACGAGGAGATTGGAAATGCCCTCTTCTTCAGATTCACCCCTAGAAATCTAAAAAGAAAGAACGAACAAAGGGATCCGAAAGAAGAGATAAAGGAGATAGTGATAGTAAAAGAAATAAAGAGCTTGTTCCCAGAGAAAACCCAGGCGTTGTGGTTCTGTTTTCCTGGTCTCTGAGGAACGAGAAGGTAAAGTTTACCATGATGTTTGTTTTTGTTGGTTCTTGCCGTCCGAAGGCGCCAAGTTTGGAATCGAGGGCGACTGAGTCAAATTTGCTAATTAGAGAAGGATGGGTGAGCGGCCATTTCCCCATTTTCAGAAAGCTTGTTGAGCCAAATTAAGCGCCAAATTAGGCATTTCTCGCCCTTCTCTACACAGAGATTCCCATTTTTGGATGCAGTTGCAGCAGCCTTACATTACTCGGAATGGGAGGCTCACCATCGGTTCAACAACCGTTCCCAAATTGTCGGGGTTCATTTCGCGGTCTTCAAACTGTGTCTACAAAATTAGAGGAAGAAGACGAGAGCAGTTAAATACATAATTCCATATAATTAATTATTTTCAACCCTAAATTAATAAAAATACTTTCAGTTTTTTAAAAAATATTAAAATATATTGTTAATATTTATGTTAAAAAATATCTTTCAAGGTATTCTTTAGTTATTGTAAAACTCACAAAAAAAAAAAAAAAAAAAAAAAAAAAAAAAAAAAAAAAAAAAAAAAAAAAAAAAAAAAAAAAAAAAAAAAAAAAAAAAAAAAATTGAGAAATAAAATTATCTTTAATAAAATAAACCATGTTTATTAAGAGTCCGGGTTTAGGAAGAGTTATGTAAAGCCCCGAAGGGGTCACGACATGCATGCTTTTAAAAACATATGCGTGTAATCTCATAATAAATACTTTTAAAATAAGGTCATGGACAAATATTAGGTTCAAAACATAAATAAATATAATATAATTTTGTAACGTAAAACACTTATCAACTACTAATTAAATTCAATGCTACTTTCTTATCATGATGTATCTTGACTTCAATGGTCTTTCCAACGTTCATCATCATTCGTGCATGGGAGCTTTACCTCTATTTGAAAATATGAGAGTAGCATATGGCTTGAATATTTTAAGAAATACTTAGTAAGTCACTCCACCATTGGGGTTTGTAACGCAATTACACACAATACATGATTGTGATCTATCTTTTTAAACCGTAACATGATCTTAGGCTCTTTTCAGTTCCAGGCAGGGTTGTATGCATGGTACTTCTCCACACACAGTTCACATAGGCACACATGGACCCCCCAGGTGAACTCGTATATGTACCCCTGGACATAACTTGGTTGAACACGATGCATTACACGTCACTAGACACCTAAGAAAAGAAAAGGCTCGCATGATATCATGTCGAACAAAAATATTGAAGGTATGTGTCTGTACTAGCATAACATAGCGGGGAAGTATCTAGACGCACATGACATACATACATGGCAAAAATGAAGTAATCCGTCACATAACTTTACATGGTAAGTCATAACATTTTATTCAAAATATAGTGTAATGGATATCACATGCATACAACACATACATCACATGACAATAAAAAGAGCATATAAGCTTCACATAATTAATATGATATATGCCGGAGCCACAGGAAATGTATCATTCATACATCAATCAATTAACTAATTCAAAATGTAAGGTCACTTGTTTGGTCTTAGCCCAAGTTTCTAGTTACTTGGTAGCTGCCTTGAAACTCTACTCCAATGCCTAATTATATAACATACTTAGGCATATAAACATCTTAACCTAGTTAATCATGATGATTATTTCCAATGCAAACACTAAAACTTACTAAAATTGGATAATATAAGTTTTATGAATCTCAAAAGCCTTAAATAAGGTCAAAAATAGCTTCAAGATGGTCGAAAACCTAGGAAACGGTATAAAATTTGGACATTGAGTCACCTAAGCCAAGTCGAGAAACCAAGCCACGAAATGAGTTGCGAAGCCAAGCTGATTGAGCCGACCAAAGTCACTGAGCCAAGCCAAGAGGAGCCACAGCTAGAAATAGGTCACGTGTCGGGCACGTGCAGCGCTGAGGGCACGAATCAAGACTTAGAGTACCCGTCAATTGATTATATCACCAATTCATTAATTATTTTTCCTAACCAAGGGTCTCCTACTTGAGCATCAATGATCCTCTATTGAAGTGTGGGTTGGACAATCAATTGGGTTAATTTTGCTCTATTTCCTTCCACTCCCAGTGTTATTTTGGCTTGCTCGAAATTTGTCTGTACACAAAGCTCTCTCGTGATTAACGCAGATGAATGGGTTGTCTTCTTACGTAGGGCATCTGCAACCACATTGGCCTTCCTGGGGTGGTAATGGATGTCGATGACATAGTCTTTCACTAATTCCAACCGCCTCTACTATCTCATATTCAATTCCTTCAGAGTGAAGAAATACTTCAGGCTTTTTTGGTCGGTGTAAATTTGAGTTTTCTCTCCATACAAGTAGTGTCGCCAAATCTTTAATGCAAAGACTACACCTGCTAGCTCCAAGTCATGTGTGGGGTAGTTCTTTACATAATCTTTCCGTTGTTGGGATAAGAATGCAATGACCTTTTCATGGTACATCAACACACATCTCAGACCCTTCTTGGAAGCATTACTGTAAATCACATAATTTCCTGTGTTGTCAGGCATCATCGTGAGTACTGGTCCAGTCACTAGCTTATCTTTCATATCCTGAAAACTTGTTTCGCAATCTTCGGCCCATACAAATGATACACCCTTCTAAGTCAACTTGCATAAGTGATGAGGCTATTTTGACAAAATTCTATATGAAGCGTTGGTAGTAACCTACCATACCCAAGAAACTACGTACCTCAGTAAACAGTGGTTGGATTAGTTCTTTAGCGACCGCTTCCACCTTTGTAGGATCTACTGACACACCATTCTCAGATACCCCATGTCCTAGAAATGAGACCTCGCCTAACCAAAATTCACATTTGGAGAACTTAGCGTATAATTTGTTCTCCCTCAAGATTGCCAAGGCCTTCTGAAGGTGCAACTGATGTTCTTGGCTCATCTTAGAGTATACGAGGATGTCATATATAAATGTATCCAGACATTCCTTGCTCACCCGATTCATCAACTCCATGATCACTATAGAGGCATTAGTGAGTCAAAATGACATAACTACGAACTCATAATGACCCTACCTTGTCCTGAAAGCTATCTTTGGCATGTCTTCCTTTTTTATCTTGATTTGGTGATAACATGACCGGAGATCTATCTTCAAAAACATCGTTGCTTCCCTGAGCTGATCAAATAAGTCTTCAATGATTGGAAAAGGATACTGGTTGTTCATTGTTCTCTTGTTCAACTCCCTATAATTGATTAACAAGCGCATCAAACCATCATTTTTCTTAACGAACACCTACGCACCCCATAATAATCGCAGGAAATCCTTTGATAACACGGATTCCTATTTCTCAGGGCCGAATATAACTTTTGTCCAATAGTTCCTAAAATTGTGTCATAAGTTCTTTCAACTCAGTTAACGCCATACGATACGAGGCCTTAGAGATAGGGTCGGTACCTAGTTCTAGCTCTATTCCAAAAATCCACATCTCGAGGTGGAGGGATTTCTGGTAAATCTTTAGATAACACATCTGAAAATTTGTTTGCTACTAACTCTGCAGCCAAGGGAGTTACTTCCTTTTTGGTGTTCACGGTGCTGGCTAGTATAGCCCATGCTCCATATTGGACCTAACTTTTTTCTTTCATCATCGATATCACTTTAGGCATTGTTCCCAGACACATACCTTTAAATATGAATCTAGTTTTGGACGGTGGCGTAAACACCACTTCTTTCTTATAACAATCTATACTAGCATGATTTTTCACTAACCAATCCATTCCCAATATTACATCGTAATTGTTCATGTCAACTACCATATGGTCTACCTTTAAGCTAATTCCTGACACTATCACTTAACCATCTTTTCTCTATACGCAACAATCAAATCCACCCCTACCGGGGTGCTAACAGACAATTCATGAAACAAAGATTCTAAAACAAATTTGAGTGACGGACGAAAACAACAAATATAAGTGAATGTGTAGATTTCGAATCAAAGCATGTTGAAACAAGATGAGCCAAGAACAAATAAAGTACCTATCACCATAGTGTAGGCATTCCTAGTATCCTTACTAGCAATTTCTGGCCATGTGACCTTCCTTTCCACACCAAAAATAGGCTCTGGTGTGGGCCAAACATTACATTTAGGTTCTGTTGTTTTGTCTATTTTCACATCGGCCTGTTTGTTGACCATGCGCAGAATCTCGGTGATGTCTACCAAGTCGCTGTTGTGACTATGTTGGAGGAAGATCGTGATGATCAATCTAGTCATTGATGGTGTTAATTTAACACATGCGGAAGCAATTTGGATCTTATGCACTTTTAGAACATCAATTATTGTAAATAACTAGCATGTTCATAAGTATTAAAACTTAATGAATTTGAATACTAACTTTTTGTAGTTCAAATTTCTTTTTCCTCACGAATCGGTTTCGAACCACCACTAGTGTCTTCTCCACTATTCTCCGGCCTTAGAACGGGATTGTGGAATCCGGTGAGTGACTAAACTTGGGAGGGATTTAGCATATATGAAGAGAGAGCTTGTGAGAATTTTTTCAAGGTCTTTTTCAAGGAAGAAGCCCTTCCATGTACCATAATCACCCTATTTAAAGACTCATGTTTAACATGGATTTTTCCATTAAATGAAGTCAACATTTTGACTTTCTCCATTTTAATTCAACAATTAATTTGAATAATTAATTTCAAATTAGAGTAACATTAAATGATTAATTAAACTATTTAATTAATATTTAATATTAATTCAAATGTCAATCTCAATCAATTCAGACATATAATTGATTAAGATATTTAAATCTTATTTAAATATCTCAAATTCTCTCTTTTTGTTTAATTCGTAAATAAAACAAAAATGTAGTTAAATATATCGTATATATGTAGTGCATATTCCCTAATTTGAATTCGATCACTTCGAACTTACTCGTCACACTGTTCTATGGTTTAGTTCAATATGAGCTAGCAGAGGGACCTAATGGACCTATAGATCATGGGCTTCAACGATCCAAGATTAACTGGTTAAACTCATTAATTTTG